AGCTGCAATTTTATACCTGGGCATAATTTTATACCAGACTCTGAGCAAGGATAGACAAATTGTGGTTCCTCTCTTTTCCTCTTTCTTCACTCCCCATATTTCAACATCTGCCTCACAAATTCACCAACATTTTGGTACACATTTCTCATAATATGTACATTTTTGCCTGGAATTGTGTCCAAAGTATTTTTTACAAGCAAGGCATTGCAGCATAATTCATCTTGGATGTTATTTTCCCTAGCACTAGTCCTTTATGCAAACTAATACTGTACTTTTTTTTGTTTTTGTTGGAGAACTGCTTTGCAAAATTCAGACATGTTTGAATGGCAGAGGATAAGCTGCTTTCCAGCTCACACATTGTTTTGGGAAGTGCAGATTACATAGGTTTGCATAAAAAATGTGAACTGAGCCACATTTCTCTCCCATCTCTATTTCCGTGTAGACATAAAATAGGACTGTGCTGCCCTTTTCTTTGTCAGAATGGATGAATTAAAAGCAACACCAAGTACACTAAAAACTTGTGGCTTAAATATTCAGCTGCACAGTGGCAGAACCATGCATTGTCTTTATCACAAAAGGGGCATGCTTAGTTGTAATTTAAATAGACAGTTCGATAGTATCAGCACATTTTTGCATTATGGATTTTGATGTTCCCAGCACAATGGCTTAGTTTTACATACACAGAGTATTAGATCAATGATACAGAATGGAAGATAAAAGCCTCCCAAGTCAATGTATTCACCTTAAAAACTGATTGCGCTGGTACAAACTACAGGGGGAAATTTTAAAAATTCAAAAAAATAATAATAAATCTGATCAAAACCACCCTCTGTCTTTGGGCTAGCGCATCCTAGCTGCTGTTGTGGCATACATAAAATGTTTTTTCTTCTCTTTTGGCAACTCTTGACCTGAAATGTCTAGTAAAAAAGCTGCTAGCCCAAAGATGGAAAAGCAAAGAAATACCAACAAAAGAAGAAAGGCAAGAAAAATTGATGGAATACGCTGAAATGGCAAAACTAGCTGGAAGACTACGAGATAAGGACAACAGAGACTTTAAGATTGGGAATATTTATGTTATACCTGCAGAAACAATGTAGTGAAATGGACTCTTTAGCAGGTTTTGATTAAACAAAACTATCAAAATAAATATAGAAAATACAACAATGATCTCAAAACAACAAGAAAACAATAATCATTATACTAGACTCCAAATTAAGAATAAAAAAACAAGCAGAAGAAATTTTTCTGTAAAAAAACAACAACCAGAAGAGGAAGTTGAGGGAAGTCGTTGGGGGGTATTATGAGGATAGCATTATTTTTGTTTTTTGTTATGTGAACAATGTAAAGATGACATAGATATGTAAAATCAAATAAAAATTGATTTAAAAAACAACAACCACCCTCTGTGAATATGTGGTGGATGCTCACTGGATATTGGTTGAATATAAGGATGTAGAATGGATACTTCGTGCTTGTTCAGTTTTAGTTCCTGATTGGTGTCATATGCCAAATGTGAGAACATTTCTGGAACCCTATTTCTTTGCAAACCATGACTGGGGTGAAGGTGCTATGAGGAATATGGGATGGGTGAGAATGATGCTGGAGACCCCCAAGACACTAGGGTTTTTTATCTCCTACCTAGGTGATACAGTGGTACCTCAGGTTAAGTACTTAATTCATTCTGGAGGGCCGTACTTAACCTGAAACTGTTCTTAACCTGAAGCACCACTTTAGCTAATGGGGCCTCCTGCTGCTGCCGCACCACCACTGTGCGATTTCTGTTCTCAACCTGAAGCAAAGTTCTTAACCTGAGGTAATATTTCTGGGTTAGTGGAGTCTGCAACCTGAAGCTTATGTAACTTGAAGCGTATGTAACCTGAGGTACCACTGTACAGCACTTTAGCATGAGGTATACACTCATATTTTGACGGTTGCCCAGCATTAAAAGTTACTCCTATGAAACTGATATAGCAAGGAACAAATTGGGACAGACCTTTTTCCATTATCCTAGCTTTTATTAACAGGGATCTTTATTTTATTGTGCAAGAATATTAACCATGGCATTCCTCACTTGCAGGCCAAAGTGATTAGTACTCACTTTAATACCTCAGGATTCTACCACCTTCTTCTTCTGCACGTGCTGTGCATGTTTAAGACTTTCTTTCACTTCACCCAGTCATCCCACATCCTGCAGTAACTTTGAATGACCTCAGTAAGATACAATCAGGTCATTTCCTTGAATGTTCACGATGGGTTGTATCCAATGCAGCGCTATATGAACGTTCCCTCAGTGCAAACATTTCTTTTTCTTTTCTTTCTTTATTTTTTACTCAGTTTTACACTACACATTTGAATTCAAACATTAGTCATAATCATCAACATTTAGTATTCCCTGAATCCTTAGACTTCCCTCCACCCTTCCATGGTTTCCATTTTCAAACTTTTTCAACTTCATCATATAATTTCTCCATTTTTCTTAAAATAATCCATTTTTACCTTAGTTTTTAGTAGATTACAAGTGTTACTCAAATCCTGCCCAAGTTTTTAGTTGTTTACAGTGTTCCCTTAAGTAAATTGTAAATTTGCAAGCATTTCTGTTTATGTGATGGAACAATCTTCCCTTCTCCTCCCCTGCAAGCTCCCTAAATCTCTTCTAGGGGATTCCCCAACAGTTTTGGGGGTGGCACAGGACATGCAAGTCCTGCTGTGGAAGCAGAAATCCTTGCACTGATGGAATGCATTCAACTGAATACCGCTTTACACTTACTTTCTTGCACAGTACTGCATTTATTTTCTTCTTGTATTGCATTGAACTAAACAATCACTTTTGGTTTTGGGTTCTTCATCGTAGTCACTCCCCAAAATCTGACCACCCAATAGCTCTTTTGCCAGTCTTAGAACACAATCATATGTAAAGTTGCACAGAAGTGATCCCATTGTCTTCAATGGGATCTACTCCCAAGTATGATATAGGATTGCAGCCTTTATCTTGCTTTGTGGCCAAATGAATTTGAATCAAGAGAAGATTAATGGATCCATCCTCCTTAATGAGGATTTTCCATGTGCACCAAGAGTCAATCCAAAATAGTTTTATCGTTTGATAGGTCTGTGTGATCAAAGCTTCCTCATTGCAGCCTTGTACAAATTTACTCCCAACAGTAAATTATTAGTTTGCCCTTTGGGAGTAAAGGCCAAGTTGACACCTTTCTTGATTTACTTAATCATACAGTGGCTGAAATGTCAAAGGAAATTAGAGCAACTTGTTATATAAACCCTTGGGAAACATGTTGCTTACTTAAGGATAGCACTTTTATCTGATAGGGGCATTCAACCATCGCTTTGCAATGATGAAAAGTACTTCAACACACACAAGACAGGGACATTTGATTCTGCCAGTTCCTCTGCCCCCATCTGGTTCAGCAGTTCACTCCTTATTCCATATTGTCCCAACCCTCAGGAAAAGCTTTCAGAAGAAATAGCAAGCTGCAGTAGGTGGGGCTCAGCAAAAACGGGGTTCCCTGAATGTGAGTGGAAGTGCTTTCCACTACCACAAAACCTCCATTGCCTACACATCTGCGTAGTTAAAGATGTCCACATAGTCTGCAATCCTAAACTTGATTACCTCTTGAAATGAAATGGGAATTACTTCAGAGTAAAGATGCATACAGAATTTTGTTCATCATTGCGCTGTTGAAAGTCAATGTATTGCAATATACCTGGCCCAAGTGGAAATTAATTACTAGAAGAGTTTGAAACTTACATTTTTTTGCAGCTTTTAAAACTTGGGCATACCTATATAACAGAGGCCAGCATTTCCACACAAGGCAAGCCAAGGTGTCCATGAAGCAGAAAGTTGGACTGTGGAAGTTCCATGGCTTTTTCAGGCTTTCGGGGAGAGGAGTCACCTCTAGTTATGACCATTAATATTTGGGCAAAGCCCCTGACACGGGACCTCCCAGATGGAACACCTTTTTCAAATAGACTATATCAACTTTGATTTCATCAAGCAAGATCATTCTAACATTCCTTCATCTGTAAATATTCGAAACATATTGGATTTAAATTGGATTTTGACACATTGCATTGAAACCATTTCCCCCATCCACATGAGGAATGTACCAATTAAGTACCATAGTTCAGTTTCAGCATTTCCCCAATTTTTGTAGCTCTGAAGAACTGCATTGTTGGCATTGGTGGGAAGTTACTCATGGAATTGTGACCTCCAATGGTTCAGCTGATTATTATTTTTGCGTTTTCCATTTCAGAGTTCCTAACTGAAGTTAAAATACCATTCGTTCTCAGAATCTCCTTTCCCTTCTCATTTTTCCCCTAGTTTAATAAATGATTCATTTGGATACTAGTTCTTATTTTCAGGCAATGTATTTGGTTTTTCTCCTTATATCTCCAGAGGCCTTTTTCATGCTGGTTTGTAGCTTAGGAAGTTATCCTAGCTATGTTCTTGGAACTGATATTACAAATGCTGTTTCCAAAAAGCTGTGGGGTATAGATTTCTGGGGCAGGGAAGGGGTGGAGCTTCACTAGTCCAGGACCCATTGGATCCAGAGCCAGCCCCACTGCCATCACGTGATAGCATAGGCCCCCAGCTGGGCCTGATCTACCTGTTTTCCAATTCCCACCCATCCACTGTGCACAGGAAGGCTGCAGATGCAGAAGTGGCCCTGCGATTCCATAAAGCCCCACTAGGCTGGTGGTGTAGGTGTAGCTTATGAAATTCCAATGAACTGATGGGCGTTTAGCTTTTCCTCTTGAAAGCAATCAGAGGTTTTATAAGCCGTGTGAAAAGCAAGGTAACTACAAACAGATGTAAGTTGGGACAAACAATCATGACATCTTTTCCTCCAAGGAAAGAACTCATCGTCCCACGGCACACACAAAAAGGAGGACAAATACAATATTAGGGCCTTAAGGTGGATTTAAATAAAACAAGTCTACATATTTGTTTGGCATGTATACCACCAACCTATCTCACTATTTTACAGGCTATAAAGTAGTGACAGGAAGATCTACATAGTTTCTCTGATGATTGGATGGGAAGAATTTCTGACCTTGGAACGTGGAGATGATGTTGCTATGGAAACTCGTATTTCTGCTACTACTTCTGAGCTGCTTTGCAGGTGAAGTATTCAATTATTACTCTGTAGAAGTCGATTGATAAATATATCACTGTGTTTTATTTCTTAACAGAAATGCATGCATCTTAAGAGGACTAATCTGCACAAACCACTGGTCTAAGCACCTTGTCATTAAGATGTCAGCTACAGTTACTTACTCCAAAGCCATTTAACTCTGGCACAACTACAGCTTTTTGTGAGCTTCTGTTGACTTTTACTGAAGCTGTTGTGGGCTGAGCTGGGAATGTGAAAGCCACCAATTGCTAAGGACTGAGTTGAGTGAGGATGATCTTTGTGTATGCCATCAACAGCTCCAGGTGTTCTGATCTTTAAGTGTTAGAAAGGATATTTTAAAAGGAATTCAGTAGACAGTGGGAAATCGAACATTTTCAGTCCAAACTATACTGAGCAAGAGAAAACAGTGTGCATCTAATGCATTTGGGAGGTGATGATTCCCCGTTTGGAATTAGGACAAAATTGCTCTCTGGTTTGTCTTCTTAGGAGCTCATCTTGTTCTGCAATTCTTGACATGATTAGTTTTACAGAGCCTTAATAAATATTCCCTTGGAGATCTGACAATGTGCTTTCTTTGCCCCTCCCTACTACCTCTTCTTGGCATGTCATTAACATATTAGAGAACTGGTCTTAGTAGACCAAAAGCATGAGTCAACAGTGTGATGCACCAGCAAAAAAGGCTATTGCTATTCTAGGCTGAATCAACATAAGTATAGTGTCCTAATCAAGGGAAAGCATAGTACCCCTCTATTCTGCCTTCGTCAGACAACAACACCTGGTGTACTGTGTCCAGGTGGAGCAAGCTCTGTTTTTTCCTACCCCAGAAGGTAGGACGTGAACCAATATCTTCAAGTTTCATGATAGGAGAGTCTGACTAAACATCAGGAATAACTTTCTGATGGTAAGAGCTGTTTAAAAGTGGAACGGACTCCCGTGGAAGGTGGTGGACTTTCCTTCCTTGGAGATTTTGAAGCAGAGGTTGAATGGCCATTTGTCATGGCTGCTTTACCTGAGATTTCTGCATTGCAGAGGGGGGGTTGGACTAGATGGTCCCTTTGAACTCTACAATTCAATGAAAGAATTATGAAAGCACATTCAGAAAAGCATGAAATACTCTTTAAAATAACAGAGTACACTGCACAGTAAAATTGCAAGTAGTATTTTTGCCTGGCATCTAAAAGATGACACAACAGGCGTCAAGGGTGTTCCTTTCAGAAAATTTAAACAAGCACCTTTGAAAGAGTTCAGTAACTGGCACTGAAAAACCACCTGCCAGTTTCATCTTCCCTCTAATGGAAGGTTTATCTAAGGAGAAAAGCCCTAAATGGAAGATCTTAACATCTTAAGGGTGGTGCAGAGAATGAGCTTATTTCTGAAGTTGGATATGTTCAACAAACAGTTCCACTTGTCAGTTTTGTGGAAAACACTGTTTTGTGGCTTGTATGCAAAGTACTGGTAATGAGATCATTCCATCATCGCAAGCATTTCTCCTTCCTGGTGGAACTATTATCACCTGCCCTCTCCATGGAATATTCTCCTGAGCCTCTGGAGCAGATTTGAGGAGGATGCAGGGTTGCCTGGGGAAACGAGAGAAGGCAAATCATGTTGTACTACTAGGATTCATTGCACTAGCTTCTGCCAGGACTATGATTTAGTTGTATGCAGTTCATTCATCCAAAAGTCACAGCTAATGGATATCGAAAAGTTATCACCCCAGGTAGATAAAGTTCTAAGTTTAGGGCACTGTAAAGCACATCAAAGTGCAAGTAGATAAATAGGTACCGCTCCGGTGGGAAGGTAAACGGCGTTTCTGTGTGCTGCTCTGGCTCACCAGAAGCGGCTTAGTAACGCAGGCCACATGACCCGGAAGCTGTATGCCGGCTCCCTTGGCCAATAAAGCGAGATGAGCGCCGCAACCCCAGAATCGGCTATGACGGGACCTAATGGTCATGGGTCCCTTTACCTATTAACAATGAATGCAGATGCTGGGACACATGCCTTTGTCATAGAATCATCGAATTTTAGAGTTAGGAGTTGATGAGCATTCCTTAATTTTCTCCATCCGAGTCTTTTACAAAAACGTTGAACAACAATGGGCCCAGGACATAACTCTGGGGCACCCCACATGTCTCTTTTTCCCAGGATGATGAAGAACCATTAGTGAGTTGCTCTTTGGGTTCGGTCAGTCAACCAGCTACAAATCCACCTAACAGTAACCTTGTCCAGCCCGCATTTTACAAGCTTCTCCACAAGAATATCATGGGGGACTTTCTCAAAAGCATAACTGCCTAGTAAACTTCCCATATGCACCTGGCAGGTCCCTGTTAAGAAAGAAAGAATGAGATCAAATCGGAAGTCTTCTTGTGCCAAGGATTACTGGCATCCTTCAAGCAACACAATATTTGAGCTTGAGTGACCATTAGTCTGACTTGGTACAGCAATTTTTATATTATTTGATCCTGTCTTGGTATAAGGAAATTGATCAGATAACCGTCTGGTTCCTGGGCTTTAGCTCTTTAATCCTGTGATGTTTCTCAACTAGTAATGAAGGATAGTGTCTATGTTCCGTGGAAAATATCAGTGAGAAATGTATAACTGAAAGTTAAGTTCATTGGTAATGCTGCTGTTTTATTTACGTTTTGCCATTATGTTTCTATGGGACGCGGGTGGCGCTGTGGGTAAAAACCTCAGCGCCTAGGGCTTGCCAATCGAAAGGTCGGCGGTTCGAATCTCCGCGGCGGGGTGAGCTCCCGTTGCTCGGTCCCAGTGCCTGCCAACCTAGCAGTTCGAAAGCACCTCTGGGTGCAAGTAGATAAATAGGGACCGCTTTCTAGCGGAAAGGTAAATGGCGTTTCCGTGTGCGGCTCTGGCTCGCCAGAGCAGCGATGTCACGCTGGCCACGTGACCCGGAAGTGTCTCCGGACAGCGCTGGCCCCCGGCCTCTTGAGTGAGATGGGCGCACAACCCCAGAGTCTCTCAAGACTGGCCCGTACGGGCAGGGGTACCTTTACCTTTATTATGTTTCTGGAAATGGTTTTTACACTGATTTAATTGTGATGAGGTAGTAGCCTTAACCCTGCCGAAGAACAGTAGGCTGACTTAAGGGTGTGTAAGGCAGGGCATGAGAATCACACAGCTCTATCATCCAGCATCTTCAAATATCTTAAGGGCTGCCACACGGAGGAGGGAGCATGCCTGCTCTGGAGGGTAGGACTCAGACCAATGGCTTCAAGTTGCCAGAAGGGAGATTCCGACTAAACATTCAGAAAACTTTCTGACAGTAAGAGCCGTTTAGCAGTGGAACAGACTCCCACGAGAGGTGCTGGTCTCTCTTTCCTTAGAGGCTTCTAAGCAGAGGTTGGATGGCCATCTGTCATGGATGCTTTAGCTGAGATTCCTGCTGTCAGGTGTGTGTGCAGGAGCCAGGCCCTGTGACCAATGCTTGCCTTATCTTCTACAATGGGGAAGAAAAGATCCTGTTTTTTTCCTGAGATATGACACTTGATCATCGGACATATTATATTTAGAAGTGACTTTGGCCACATAGTAAATATTTAATGTTTTGTTGGGTCTCTGGACCGTAATAAAGATTGTTGTTGTTGTAAATAACAGTTTTTTGCTTTTCAAATTTAACGAGTTTAGAGATTTCATGCATACTTGTATGTTGGGGCACTATTGTACACTGAGGGACGCGGGTGGCGCTGTGGGTAAAAGCCTCAGCGCCTAGGGCTTGCCGATCGAAAGGTCGGCAGTTTGAATCCCCGCGGTGGGGTGCGCTCCCGTTGCTCGGTCCCAGCGCCTGCCAACCTAGCAGTTCGAAAGCACCCCCGGGTGCAAGTAGATAAATAGGGACCGCTTACCAGCGGGAAGGTAAATGGCGTTTCCGTGTGCAGCTCTGGCTTGCCAGAGCAGCGATGTCACGCTGGCCACGTGACCCGGAAGTGTCTCCGGACAGCGCTGGCCCCCGGCCTCTTGAGTGAGATGGGCGCACAACCCCAGAGTCTGGCAAGACTGGCCTGTACGGGCAGGGGTACCTATTGTACACTAGCGGGGCACTTTTATATGTATCAATGTCTTAGTGTATCAAAGTTCCCCAACGGACATTTTCAAAAAAACTAACAATTATTAATAAAACCACTGAACTTATTTAAAAATCATGTGTAATCCTGATTACTGAGTGGAATAACTTACCTTTGGTATTTTTAAATCTTAACTAAATGACGTAAAACAGTGTTGGAACACTTTTACATTTCACATAATTTTTTAGTTGGCTGTGCTAAAAACACACCTACTCTCGTCAAACGCCAATGGCTAACTGGCGGGTGGTATGGTCGCAACTATTGCACTCACACATGTATAGACACGTTATTCGTGTCGCAACATCACTAAAACGTGTCTATACATGTGTGAGTGCAATAGTTGCGACCACACCGCCCGCCAGTTAGCCATTGGCGTTTGACGAGAGTAGGTGTGTTTTTAGCACAGCCAACTAAAAAATGTCTCAATATTGAAATATTGCTTGTGTATCAATGTGCCCCGTGCATCAATGTGCCCCGCTTCTGCTTACATGATGGCAAGGACATGATCCAAAAAGGAGGCTTATAAATATTCAGATATAAATAAAACATGTACTGCTTTCTGTGTGGACAGTTCAGAAGAAATGGTCTTTTCTCCAATTAATGCTGCTTTGACTTTTATAGGGTCATTATCCAGTTCCCAAGTGTAGACATTTGTCTGACATCGGCCTCTAACTAATGTACTGAACTTGTTATACTTCAAAAACAAAAAAAACCCTGGTCTCATCTTAGTCATATTCTCATGATATGGTTATGCTAATTATAGCAACTACAAGTGAGCCTTAAATTAATCATATGATTCATGACTCAGCAGCTGCCTTTTCTTTGAATAATGAATCAGAAAATAATGCAAAATACAGGGTGGACAAAACTTAAAACAAAGCTAAGCTATATTGTTCATAGTAGAGTTTA